GTGGTCGACTACATGGGAGTCCAGTGACATAGCCATTACGCTAACTGCTGGTCCCTAAAATTTATTAAATTAATTCACAGTTATGTTACAATTGAAAGTTTTTTTTCAGCTTTAATTAAGAGCACACCATGAAATGACTTTGTGCTAAGCAATATAATGTGAAATATGAATAACATAAAATATTCCAATGAAGAAATTATCATTAATTAAAGAGATTGTTAGTATTTACTTGTGAGTGTAAAAATATCAAGAATGTTACTTCAATATCAAAATTGTTTAATTTATAAAATATAAATCCATTGTGCTTTAAAACAAGTGGATATTGGGAAAATTGTTTCCTACATAAATTTGAAGAGTACTAAAATAAACATTGAGCTTGGGAATGACATTAGGACAATTTTTTACAGCAAGAAAACAGTAAAACATAATTTAATTCTAAAAAGTGCTGAAGACCAGGGTTTTTTTTCTAATATAAAAAACCTGAGTTTATCAAGTTACCTTCGCATTAGTCTCCTTTCTGGACTTCAAGAGGAGAAAGAGTCTCATCACAATAAATTGATGACAAATGCTTTCAGCTGTGTTGATGTACAGTGATTAAATGTACAAAATAAATTTTAACAAAATAATTTATAAAAATTTTTTGTCACCACACAGTTCCTGTCTCTATTAAGTATGTAATATGCCAAGAGAAGATTATAAAGCTATATTATTTCTGAATAGTGTAAGGTAATTCAATCAGCTACAACATACACTGTCACAGGAACTAAAGTACCATAGGAATACTCTACTAATACTGGAAATGTCCCTGACACTGTAGAAAATAAAAATTAGCTACAAGATTAATTTCCACATTATCCTAGGGAAATCAAAGAGATACGTATTTCATAGTTTTTTTTTTACATCAAAAACTAACAATGATGAACAGTAAGGACTGTGTTCAATTAAACTAGGAGAAGTTAGGGACTGTCCTATAGTCTTGGACCCACATGCCCTCTCTGCAAGTTCAGGGCATGACAGTAATTATTCCCTTCTGACTTTGACAGTAGCTCTGTATTTAACTCCAAAGCATCCATATTCCAGGAAGGAACACTTACTTTGCCTCCTGATTCGCCTCCTTCCCATTCATACTCTTCCTGGCATACCAAAATATATATTACTCACCTGCCTTCTTTCTGCTCTCAAATCAAAGGGCCCAAAGTGATTCAGGAAGGACAGTGTGTGTGATGAGGCAGCCAGGTCTGAGATATGGGGCTCTGATCCTGTGATCTCACCTCCCCACAGGACTGCAATTATGATTTCACTTGCAGCAACAATGACAGGGCCCACTTGGGAAGGAGAAAGTATTTTGGAAACTTTGGCCCCAGTTACCAATTACTCAAAACACTGACAAATTTCAGTGAGCTTCTCCAGAGAAATGAGAGCAAGGGAGAAGTTTTTTTATTCCCTGATCTCTGGAGGCAGATGTGCTCACATGGAGGGAGCGTAAAATGCAGATTTCTTACACATGAGAGACTGGGAGCAAGTCTGTGCTTCTTACCAATATTCCCCTTCCTAAAGATGTGCTCCTGATGAAATTCTAATTTCCTGGTCATCCTCAAATTGATTATCTAAACTTACATTTAATTTCGAATACAGAAATGGGATCAGATCTTGAAAGGACTTATCAATATGTTGCAGTACAAATAACATAGTCACATATTCATACCAAATAAATAGGGATACAATTTACATCTCCATGCAAATTACAATACAAATGTGGATATGTATTCAAAATACATATTTATCGATATAATCCATAAAAACAGAGGTTATAAACTATAGTGTATTCATAAATGTCACATAAACTTTCATCAAAGAATCTCCTCCCACACAAAAATAGCACCAGGTTCACATAGCATAGAGGTAAAATCCACTAATGTACTAATTAATAAACCAATGCTACTTAAACTATAATATTTAAGAATCTTCCCAATAGATTTTAGGGAGGATATATATGAATTATGTGGAATGCTTCCTAGAGCAAGCCATATAGAACATGATAGAAAACTAGGCTAGATGAACATAAAAGTAAAAACTTTAAATATTAGAAACCTTTGTGTCAACACATCAACACATTTTATCACACTCAATCACCCTTTAAGCCAGGAATGCAAATGAGATTCAGCATTAGGAAATCCATCAACACAATTAACATTACAGAAGTAATAAGAATGCCATGTGCTCATGATAATACAAAAGACATTAGCAGGA